TTCAAGGAACTATTCATATACCTGTAGTAAGTGAGGCTTTTACTCATAGCACTCTGCGGCTACAAATTTGGGGATGCGACAGGGCAAAAAGTATGTATTTAGTATGATTTTAAAATGCTGATGGCCCTGTTGCTTAGGTGCTTGAGCCGTTTGGTATCCACTTGGATGTATGCAGCACCTCTGGAATTGCAGAGGTGATGCTGAAAACAGGTTTGGACAAAAAATGTTTTTCTTAGAGATGTGTATAAGGATGTTTTCTACTTGTCCTTCAGGTTTTAGATGCCCATCTATTAATTTTGCTTGATGTTCAAGAAATTCTTAGGCCTTCCAGAATACAAGCAGCAGATGATTTTTAGCAGACTATTCCATTTACGCTGAAGTATTTGTTTTTTTAATTTGAAACGCAGAATGAAGTTCCTGGTCCGTCGATGGCACAGAGTTACAGGTTCCGGTGTGCTAAGTATCAATAGGGATGTCTTTAGCCAGAACACAGGTAAATCATAGTCCAGTAATGACCAAAAAAGGGTATTCACAAGTCACAGCTGCTTAAGGGAGATGGGTTTTAATTTGCATTTTCCTCATGTAGAACAAGTGGGGTGCTGTTCCCCCTTCCCGTTGCTGTAATTGCTTGGATTAACCTTTTTCTTGGGTTTCTGAGAGTTTCCATGCTCAGCACAGACGCTAATCTATTTGCTTTCTCTTCAGTCTTGTTTTGTTCTATTGTGGGTGGGATTTAACAAAATACGGCAACTTTCCCTATGGAGTGTGTTTGTAAAACCAATGTGAGCTGTGTCATCAGATTTCTCTTAAGAGGTGTGCAGCCCCAGCGCTGAGAGGGGATGCTGAGGGCAGGGGCGGACAGAGGGATTGTAGCACAGTGGCAACAGAGCCTATTGACCAGCCGTCCCTGCCCTTTGCCTCGGAACAAAAGTCATTCTTTTCTTACAGCTAAAAGTTTGGGAAATCCAGTTTTATTAATTCCTGGCTATCTAGGTCTGCACAAAAACCCTGTCCTGCTCAGTCTTTGAGAGTTTCGTCATTATCACCAGGGAGGGCAGGATTTCACCTCTGGTTTTCTCTGAAGCAGTCTGAAAGTGGTCTACGTTTGTTAAACACCATTTTTGTGATAGGCAAACAGAAAGCTTGCATTTGAGATTCCCAGTAAAATGCAACAGGTGTCACTTTTTTTAGTTTTCAATACATTGCTTTTTCTATTTCTAGGTAATGAATTACGGCCTGATTCTTTCTCTGGTGGCATGGATCTTTATGGAGAACAAAGGCATTCCTATAGATCCAGGTCAGACATGGAGTCTCCTAGATCTCCTATAAACTTGCAACATAAGTACATTTTATTTTAGATTATTATTCTCTGTCAGAACACTGTTTAAATAAATGAACACATCAGCTTACTGCTAAGGTTTGTAATCTGTGATGCCGTTAAGATTTTTTTACTGCCTTTGTAAGGATAGATAACAAGTTACATCTCAGGCCTTCACTGTGCGTTTACTCATTGCCTGAGCAAGGCCAAAGCTTGCAGACTTCTGTCTGATTTGCATCGTTATGTTCTTGGAGCTGGTGGTAGATCCACGGGATGGAGCTGGTGGTAGATCCACTGGATAGAGCCACGTTGACCTACGTCTGTAGAGTCTAGGCTTTGCCACCAAGCAAACCACTGCTGCCTGTCCGCCTTTTGCATTGGCAGCAGTGTGTCGTGGGGAGGGGCTGCCTCCGGTGCCCTCAGCCGAACGAAGGGAAGATCAGGGCCACTGGCTGTGGCTGGGGAGGGTGTTCTGGTTACTGTGGGCTGGAGGAATTACTGCGGCCTCATGGCCAGAGCGTGGGTGGAAGCTGCTTGGTAGCTCCGCTGCTTGTTCCTGATTAAACCCTTTTGGTTGGCTGTACTTAGCTGTGATGCCGGAGGTGTCAGTGAATCAGATGTTGGTGAAACCAGGTATTTTTCATCAAAGGCAACGTTTTTATGAGCACCATCACCCTTTGATGAGTTTATATGGAGTTGTGAGCTTGGATCTTTACTGAATATCAGATTCTGGCCATTTTGGTTCTTCATTTTTATGTAAGCCACCTCAACATTTGTAATCTTAGTTTGTGGCAACCATAGCAGTTTACATGGAAAAAAAATGTTTAATCTATTTTAGCCACTTTTTTTACTTATAGAGAGTACTGAAGAGAGACAGAATCCTGTAAAGATGGCCGTGTTCACACAAGCTTCTTAATAGAAAAGCAAACTTGAATCTACCACGGCTTCTGCTGCAGTCTCAGTAGGAATTTGCTGGTCAGTCTTTGTCCCAAAGAAATGCAGCCACGGATCAGGTGCAGTAGAAGGAAGAGGTGTCTGGGAAAAGTGGTTTCTCTGGGGGAGGCAGCACGATGGCTTGGGCAGCAAACGGCAGGGAGGTTAAAGGGGCATGGTGTGCTGCTGGCTGCCGCAAGGGTAGCTTAAGGGACACGCAGTCAGTGAGGTATCTCTGCTCACAGCGTTTTGCTGTGTCCGCTGATGCTTTTGTTTTATTTGAAATTTTCCTTTTTAAAAACACCTGTGTCCTCCTTGCCCCTAGGTTCCACGGTACGCATGCTGACTTAAACCCAGTCTCCTTTGCCTGTTCTCAACTGCAGAACTACGATCCTGAAAGAGCTTTGACAGATTACATCAATCGGCTGGAGGCACTACAAAGGCGACTGGGCAGCGTGCAGTCAGGTAAGGGCTCCCAAGTTCTCCCCGTGACGCCGGGGCACGGTTCCCGGTTAGAAAGCATGCGCTGGTTCCCGGAGATATGTAACAAACAGCTTGCATCTCAGGCATTTTCAGCCTTAAGCAAGAGGCTACTCTGAGCTGTAGCAAAAAGCTCATTAATAAGATGATTGTTAAATTCTTTGAAGGGAGAGGTACCAGTGTGATTTAATTACAGATTTTGAGTTTATTGGTAGCACTTTAACTTTCCCTGATCTCTAACAAATGTGCAGCAAGGATTCCTTTGGCACCTTAGTAAGATTTTAAGCTAGATGTAGAAAAATGTCCCCAAAAGATTGAGGCGTGGGAGTACGAGGGGCATTTCTTCTCCTCCCACTTCGATTACAGAAGCTACAGCCCTTTTGTCCTATAGGTGATGGTAATTTGGGGGCTTTAAAAGGAAGACATCAAAAAAATTGTCAGATCAATGGGACGTAATTTATCAAACTTAATCTTTGCAGTTACTGTGTTGAAGTCTTACTTCAGTGTAAAATCCATCATTTGAGGAAGTTTTGTTCTTAAAAGATTTCCCATGTAAAATCTGTCACACTTATTCACCTAAGTAACATGTCATTGGTGAATCCTCATCTACATCTTACAGGTAATCTTGATGAAAATCTTTCTCCCTCTTTCAGGTTCGACTTCATACACTCAGTTGCATGCTGGTATGAGAAGATAATATCTTTTCAACATCTCCGTCACTGGCAGTGATGTAATGGATTGCCTTCTGTAAATCTGTGCTCTTTCTCTGCTTTTGTATAACGTGTATATTGTGGGACCAATATGAACGCAGCTAGGCGATTGATTGTATGCGGTTCCATCCCGGCACGCCCACCCAGACTGGGATTTATGTACATAGCACTTTGTGTTCATGGGGAAAAAAACCAAAACCCAACCCCAAACGATGCCCCGCCATTAAATTACGTGTATATTTGTGGAATGCTAATTTAAATGATTAACTTATGAAGTGTGTATTTATCAAAAGAGTGCGAAGATGAAACTTGTGTATTAATGAAATGGAGCTACATTCAGCAACGTTTACTTGCACTTTTTCTGGCAAGGCTACTGAAGTTACATGACTCTCGTAATATTTGCTACTGGCAGCGCAGACAGAATATCACTTGTAGAGACCTATTTTTGTAATGGTAGAAGTTTTGAATTTTATGGGTATTTTGTCAAAGTACTGAAATAAAGATGACTTCATGCTTTTAACTGTGTTCAGGAGCTACTCCCTTACACCATGCTCCTCCTACTCAGGGTGGCTGCAGCTTTGCTTTTTACAGAGGAGAGAGGACAGGTACAAGGTTTCTGAAGACCCTGGGCACATCTTCCGAGGTGGAAGGGAAGATATCTGCTCCCTCAGTTGCTGAGACTGATACAAACACCAGGTTTTGTAAGTTACGTCAAAGTTTAGAACAACAATCCTTGCTGTAGTGAGCACTGATGAAGGGGGAAGCTCTTTGCATGACTGACTTCATGCTTACAAGAAAGTTTATTACAAGTTTCCTTATCAAAGTTTTCCAGAATTGACAGGCTTGAGCACAGAAAACTTCCACAAGAGGTTTGTTTATAAATTTAATTCAAAGTTCCTGTGAGCCAGAGCTCATTACCATTTATCACCACCACTCTTAAACATCATTGAAGTCCTGCAGAAGTCACTACAAAGGGGGATGACAGTCAGCTATTTCACTTCATTTGTGACCACTTTATACACAAACACATTATTTACAAAATTAATGTTGTTTGTATCACATATTGTTACTTTCACACTTACATCAAGCTTTAAGAAAATTTTAGAAAATTGTTGCTTTCTGCACCTAAGCATTTTGCAACTGCTTCAAGTTAGACATTTAACTCGTCTATTCTCAGAAAAGACTTCGCTGTGAACATTCTGCAGTCTGCCCCCGACTCAGCTGTACGGTAACATTTTTCTTAAGTACGAAGCAGCCAAGAGGGGAGCTAGTTCAGTCAGAACAGAATGAGGAGTACCCGAAGTAGGGCACCACGGTCTGCGCTGCCCCTCGCTGCCTCCTCCCTGGCGCAGTTGCTGTAACTGGATGCAGAGGGAAGGCACGCGGTCTTACCCCGCTAGTATCCGGGGAAAAGTAATCTTCAGTTATTTTTCAAAAGCACAGAGTTCCATTTACAGAAATTACTTATTTCTTCACTTTAAAGAGTGTTACACCAATAGAAAAAACACTTTTTCCTTTAAAAATGCAACGAGAAATTTGTAGAACAAGCGGTTATACACAGCAGCATTAAATGGTGTGGGCAAACAAACAAAACAGATGCAACACCTTTGCAGTTGGTAAGTATTGTCGACTTCCTAACAGTAGCTGCAATGGTTTCCATTTGCCACGCACTGTCACAATTTTATTCAAAAGTCTGTTAGTTTACACAACTTAAATAAGTAAGGTTTTAGCTCCTTTTACAGTGACCTCCTCTTATAGCTGATAATGGGGTTATTAGGTGTGTGTATCATTGTTGTGTAATTTATAGTCGGAAAATACTCATTGATGAGATCAAATTCATACAAACGAAGCAAAGTGGACCAAATAGTCTTAATCTGAACGTAAGCAAAGTTTTCTCCAATGCAGCGATGACGGCCTAGAAGGAGAGCCATAAAAAGCAGTTAGAATACTTCATTGCTAAATCACCTTTGCCAACAAGCTAACTTTAAAAGTTTCCTGCAGACAGTAATTGCTTCTTTCCTCTCCAAACAAGGTGAGGCTTTGGTGCTGCATGTACACCATTACGTAACTCCATCAGCATCTTGTTTTTATAAGCTGTTGCTGCACAGAAGGGACCAAGAAATACAAGTGCAAATGTGGTGTTCTGTCCTCACCAGAAAGCGTTCATTTATGTATCACCAAAGAAGCATTACAACACTGAGCAGATACCAATGGTAACTGTAGTGTGGTGATACTCACACACTGCTTTGGTGGTTATGGCTCTATGCAGATTTTTGCTCTGCCTTAAAAGGGACTTTGTCTTACCGGGTTTTTACCTTGCCTTGGGAAGACTTGAGTCAAATAGCACATATGCTAACCTAACCATTTGGGTTGATTGCTACTCCAGTTGATATACAGCTACTACTAATGCAAAACTATTGAATTAATTTTTAACAGCACTTTCAGAGTAAGAAAACTTTCAGGCAGCAGTAGAAAGGGAAAAAAAAAATATCCTCTGCAGTGTGGGGAGGCGCTGTACAAGCTGACCAGCAGGAGCACTCTGGTACTCAGGCAGGCGCTGTGCTTGCTCACTCACCAGCGCCAAACGGGACATACGCAAATTTCTCTCCAGCTGCTGGGTTATCTTGGAGATAGCGGTCAGGCTTGAAGTCTAGAGCATCCTTCCAGGAGTCCCTCAGTCTGTGGTTAACAGTGGGAGATACACAGACTTGGTGGCCAGGGGGGATATTATATCCTGCAACAGTCTACAAGAGAAGAGACAAGACCCATGCACATCACAAAATTTCTCCTTTTTTTTTTTTTTTCAAAGCGTTACCTGAAGTGATCTTTCAAAAGAGATTTTGGCTAAGCTCGTTTAAAATTAACGCAGCCTGGTACTTTATTGTTTTATTTGTACAGGGCACAACATTCAAGTAGTTGCAGGAACTTTTCAGCTGCTTTAAAGAAGGCTGGCAATTCTACAGAAAGTTTAAAAAAAAATAAAAATGAATGAAATTAAAATTTATTGAAAGCATTTGTCATGGGAAGGACATTCATTTAAAAAAATTATTTGACTTACTTGACTATCTTATTTGTACAAACAGCAAGTTTTCTTTCAGATTTACCTAGCTTGGATTAAGTGCAAGCCAATTTTTTCCAAGAAGCTATTAAAAGTACCTGGCAAACAAAAAATACCTTTAAATGATAACAACAAACTAAGCTCAAGTGAGACTGACAGCTAAAGAAAGCGTCAGTTTTGCTGAGTAAGACTGCAAGTGGTTGTTACTACATCCCCTTGGAGCCTTCCCTTCTCCAGGCTGAACCAACCCTGTTCCCTCAGCCTCTTCTCACAGGACAAGTGCTGCCACCTCCTACCATCTCGGTTGCTCTCTGCTTGCTTCACTTCATCAACATAGAATCATAGAGTGGTTTGGGTTGGAAGGGACCTCAAAGATCATCTAGTTGCAACGACCCTGCCATGGGCAGGGACACCCTCCACTAGACCACACTGCCCAAAGCCCCATCCAACCTGGCCTTGAACACTTCCAGGGATGGGGCATCCACAGCTTCTCTGGGCAACCTGTTCCAGTGCCTCACCACCCTCACAGGGAAGAATTTCTTCCTAACATCTAGTCTAAATCTACCCTCTTTTGTTTAAACCCATTACCCCTTGTCCTATCAGTCCCTCTCCATCCTTCCTGTAGGCCCCCCTTCAGGTACTGGAAGGCCGCAATTAAATCTCCCCAGAGCCTTCTCTTCTCCAGGCTGAACAACCCCAACTCTCTCAGCCTGTTTTCGCAGGAGAGGTGCTCCAGTCCTCTGATCACGAATGTCTGGATGGCTGGGGGCTGGAGGGGTCCAAAACTCGACACAAATCATTCCAGATGAAGGTAGCAGCTACCACGTTCAAGGTATTAATTGCTTTCCTCAATCAACACTGGCTATGCTCCCACTGATAAGAGCCCAGGCTGCCATCAGCTTTCATTCCTGCCAGCAAACACTGCTCACTTGTGTTCCTCCTTCTGCCAGGCGGGACACCCCCCCTCAGCCTTTTCCGGCTCCGGTCTACTGCAGGGAAGTTAGCTCCAATGAGTGTACTCACCTGCGGAGTTTTGGCCAATCTCATCATGGTCATTATAGGAGGTCTAAGCCTTAAAGTTTCTTTTAGACAGCGATCCAGCAAACTGAGATCCTTGAGCTGAAAATAGAAAATTATATATCAAAATACAACCAAGTTTATCCAACACAGAAAAAATGGTATTTCATACCATTTAAAAACAAACAAAAAAAAAAAAGCAAAGAGTAAGCAGGACATATTTACATGTACTACATTAGCTACCCTGATAATTTTTTTTTTTTTTCCATTTAATTCAATTAAGGAAAAAAATCTCTGACCAATGCAATCAAATATGACTAGCTTCTTACTAATCTGTCTCATGAGTGGTTTTCTGATGCCTAATTAAAGAACAAGGTCACACTGCATCCCTTTCCTCAGTGGGAACATGAGGATCTTCCTCCTCTACAGAACTATCACTGCTTAAATAGAAATTGTAGGAACTGTAATTTCTTTACTCAACACTGATTAAAAAACAGTAGCAAGCTGAAAATTTACTTGAAAAGGAGGAGATATATTGACAAAAGGTGTTACCACAGAGTGACTGTGCCAGATTATGATTTTAACACAAAGAATATGACTATATTTCACATTTGTTTGTGGGGTTTTTTGTTTTTTTTTTTAATAAGCATCTGAAATTATAAAAATACCCACCAGGACATACAAACCTGGTCATAAGTTAATGGTGGCAAGTCATCCCCACAAACTGCTTTTTGTTCTGCGTAGCACTGCTCCTGTATGGATTTGTCTCTGGCTATGAAGAAGCCGAGCCAGGCGCTGGTGGTGGAGGACGTGTGCTGCCCCGCTAGCAGCAACCCAATAAGCATTCCAGCAATTTCATCATCTGTCAGCGGACGGCCATCCCTGGGTTGAAGGGTGTTATGTTAGAACTTCATTTGAGCAGGTTTCCAGTTACAGTAGAATTTACAAATTCTTCTAATGTACTTCTTTTTCCTCCTTCTCCTTTGCTGCCTGCTCTAAACAAAGCAGCTAAAGGTAAAGGGAGAACAGAGGGAGAGAGACCCTCTGCGAGCCTTAAAGAAAATCATTACTGAACAGCCAGCAGAGAGAAAGGAAGCAACCTCATGATGACTGATGAAGTCTCAGAAGCCTAAATAAGCATTTACAATTCAAGTTTTTAAGCTTTTTTTAATAATACCAGCTGAGACCAATTGCTGGCAACAAAACCAATTCAGAACATGAGAGAGTATTTCTTATTTTTTGGTAGATATTTTAGCTTTGAGCTCTTCAGTTAAAACTAAAACATCTATAAACGACAGGTCTTCAAACCCTTGGCTTACTTGTATGAAGCATCAAGTAGAGTTTGGAGCATGTCATCCTCCTTTTCCTCAGACTTTCGACGTTTCTGGATAACCTTGTAGAAAATATTCTTTATTTCTCTGTGTGCTCGATCTCGACGTCTGCAATTCAAAACACTTCTATTGGGAACTTTTTACAAGTTAACACATAAAATGTTTATGAGGATTTATAGGGACATATGGAATAGCTTGCAAACTAAAAACAGGGAAGGGGAAAAAAACACCAGACAACAAAGGCGTTTAAGATAAAATAGTTCAGTTGCTTCATCTGTTATTTCTGGTACCTGAAGCTAGGCAGAGGTAGCCAACCTGGCAGAAGCCAGGCAGCATGAGTGAAACCCCCATCCAAATCGGCATACAGCTGAGCCACCTTCTCATTCAGCAAGCTTCTTATTTCTTTCCCATGTAAGCAATGACTCGCTGTCAAAATGATAAGTTCTGAAAGGGCTTCAAACAGGTCTGAGGGAAGATTTGAAAAAATGTTACTGAAAATGCTTTCAAGCAAGATGTTATGCTTTACAGATTATTCTTTATTTTGTAGAAGGAAAAAAAAAAAGCAACTGGACACAGATTAATGATTTTAAATAGAGTTTTAGACTGTTTTACTAGGAGAATGAAGCACCTAATTTTAAATTTCAGTGTGACTATCAGGTTTCTCTTCAAACAATTTTTTAATTAGATCATTGATTTCAACAACTTTTTTCTCAGGTATTTTTTTTCTAGAAATTTTTCTAGGAGAGCTAGTAATCCTTCCAAAGTAAGCCATGCAGCACAAGCTCAATCCTTAATAAGAAGTCATACAAAAACTTAACCTTGAAATCCAAATCCATGGGAAAACAGTTAAGTTTTGCTGCTCACTGAATTATTTTAAAATAGTAATATTTATACATTTAAGATGGTAA